GGGGACATCCGGAGGGTCCTGGCAGGGGGACGCGGTGGTGGCCACGGTGGCCTCGGTGGCCCTGGTGGCCTTGGTGGCTCCAGTGGCCTTGGTGACCTTGGTGGCCTCGGTGGCCCTGGTGGCCTTGGTGGCCCTGGTGGCTCCAGTGGCCTTGGTGACCTTGGTGGCCCCAGTGGCCGTACGGTGGCCGAGCGGTGCCAAAAAGCCATCGAGGACATCCCGAGGCTGCTGCGGGGACAATGATGTCTTTACAGTGACGTCATTGCCGTGACGTCATCGCCGTGACGTCATCGCCGTGACGTCATCACCGTGATGTCATTGCTGTGACGTCATCGCTGTGACGTCACGGGAGGGGGCCACTCGTCCCCTCCCCTGCCCGGGATCCGAGCGGAATTTGGGGAATTTTGGGAAATTTGGGGAATTTTGGGAGAATTTTGGGGAATTCTGGGAAATTTTGCGGGGATTTTGGGGAATTTTGGGGAATTTTGGGGATTTTGGAGAATTTTGGGGATTTTTTTGGAATTTTTGGGGGAATTTTTGGGGAATTTCGGAATTAAAAATGTCCCAAATCCTGGTGGGAATGGTCGGTGACGTCATTGGGGACACGGAAATGCCCCTCAGAAAACCCCCCCTTTACCCTGCCAGGACCTGCCGTTACCGTGGGAACCGAGCCGGAAATGCCCCGGCACTTCCGGGTGTGGTTTCCATGGAGATGAGGGGTCCTGGAAGGGGAAATGAAGGCTTGAGGGGGGGAAATGGGTCCTGGAAGGGGAAAAAAGGGTTCTGAGGGGGGAAATGGGGTCCTGGAAGGGGAAATGAGGGATTGAGAAAGGGGAGATGGGTCCTGGAAGGGGAAATGGGGCCTGGAAGGGGAAATGGGGCCTGGAAAAAGGGAAATGGGGCCTGGAAAAAGGGAAATGAGATCCTGGAAGGGGAAATGGGTCCTGGAAGGGGAAATGGGGCCTGGAAAAAGGGAAATGAGGTTCTGAAAGGGGAAATGAGGTCCTGAAAGGGGAAATGGGTCCTGGAAGGGGAAATGGGACTGGAAAAAGGGAAATGGGGCCTGGAAAAAGGGAAATGGGTCCTGGAAGGGGAAATGGGACTGGAAAAAGGGAAATGAGGGACTGAGGGAGGAAATGGGGTCCTGGAAGGGGAAATGAGGTCTTGAGAAAGGGGAAATGGGTCCTGGAAGGGGAAATGGGGGCCTGGAAGGGGAAATGGGGTCCTGGAAGGGGAAATGAGGGATTGAGAAAGGGGAAATGGATCCTGGAAGGGGAAATGGGGTCCTGGAAGGGGAAATGGGGTCCTGGAAAAGAGAAAATGGGGCTCTGAGGCGGAAATTGGGTCCTGGCAGGGTGAATGAGGGTCCCGAGGAGGTAAAGGGGATCCCACAGACGGAATTTAGGGTCCTGAAAGGGTAAATCGGGATCCCGAGGGGGTAAATGGAGAGGTCCTGAATTCCATCTGCGGGACCCCATTTAACCCCTCGGAACCCTCATTCACCCTGCCAGGACCCACATTTACCCTCGGAACCCCCTTTTCCCCTTCCAGGACCCCATTTCCCCCCTCATGATCCCCCTTCGCCCTTTCAGGACCCCATTTAGCCTCTAAGGACCCTCCTTTACCCTTCCAGGACCCCATTTAGCCTCTAAGGACCCTCCTTTACCCTTCCAGGACCCAAATTTTCCCTTCCAGGACCCTCCTTTACCCCTCCAGGATCCCCCTTTTCCCCTTCCAGGACCCCATTTCCCCCTCTCAGGACCCCATTTTTCCTTCCAGGACCCTCCTTTACCCTTCCAGGACCCCGTTTCCCCCCTCAGGACCCCATTTACCCTTCCAGGACCCAATTTCTCCCCTCAGGACCCTCTTTTACCCTTCCAGGACCCAATTTACCCTTCCAGGACCAAATTTCCCCCCCTCTTGATTCCCCTTTACCCTTCCAGGACCCCATTTTCCCCCTCAGAATCCTTTTTTCCCCTTCCAGGACCCTCCTTTACCCTTCCAGGACCCCTTTTCCCCTTCCAGGACCCCGATTTCCCCTTCCAGGACCCTTTTTTACCCTTCCAGGACTCAATTTCCCCCCTCAGGACCCTCCCTTTGCCCTTCCAGGACCTCATTCACCCCCCACCCACACAGGCCACGCCCCCAGGCCACGCCCCGAGCTCTGATTGGTCGGAGCGAGGAAAGGGGCGTGGCCAAAGTGACGCAAACGCCGAGAATCGAAACCGAAACGAGGAGGGGGGAGGGGCCCCAAAAATCCCGGGAATTCCGCGGGAAATTCCCCAAAATCCCGGGAATTCCGCGGGAAATCCCCCAAAATCCCGGGAATTCCGCGGGAAATTCCCCCAAAAATCCCGGGAATTCCGCGGGAATCTCCCCAAAATCCCGGGAATTCCGCGGGAATCTCCCCCAAAATCCCGGGAATTCCGCGGGAATCTCCCCAAAATCCCGGGAATTCCGCGGGAATCTCCCCAAAATCCCGGGAATTCCGCAGGAAATTCCCCAAAATGGGACCAGGACCCCCAAAATTCCAGGAATTCTCTGGGAACCCCCTAAATTCCAGGAATTCCGTGGGAAATGCCCCGAAAATCTTGGAATTCCATGGAAAACCCTCCCAAAATTGGGATAAAAAATTGGATTTTTCCAGGAAATTCCCGGATTTTGTGGCTGGAAATCGGGGTCAAATTCGGTTTTCCAGAGAATTCCCGGTTTTCCAGCGAAAAACCCGGGAATTTCCTGGGTTTCGATCCCGATTTGAGGCGTTAAAAAAATGGGAATTTCCTGGGAAAAAAATCGATTTTTTTATTCCGATTGGAAGAAAATTTTTTATTCCTTTTTTTTTTAAAAAAAAAAAATTTTAATTCCGGTTGGAAAACCTCGGGAATTTCCTGGAAATTCCAAAATTTTCCCTCAAAATCCCGGGAATTCTTGATCCAGACGGGGAAATTCCGTTTCTTGTCCCGATTAGAGGAGATAAATAAAAAAAAACCACGGGAATTTGGGGGAAAATCGAATTTTTTTATCCCAAATTTCGGGCGCTGAAATCCGGGAATTGGCTGGAAAAAACAATTTTTATTCAAATGTGGCCCGGGGGACACCTGGGGACAGCTGGGGGGACATTGGGGACACCTGGGGACAGCTGGGGACATCTGAGGACACCTGGGGGGACACTGGGGACACCTGGGGACACCTGGGGACAGCTGAGATGGGTTTGGGGACACCTGGGGACATCTGGGGGGACATTGGGGACACCTGGGGACACCTTGGGGACACCTGAGGACACCTGGGGGGACACCTTGGGGACACCTGGGGACACCTGGAGACACCTTGGGGACACCTGGGGACACCAGAACCAGCTCTGGGGACATCTGAGGGGACATTGGGGACACCTTGGGGACACCCAGGAACACCTGGGGACACCAGAACCAGCTCTGGGGACATCTGAGGGGACATTGGGGACACCTTGGGGACACCTTGGGGACACCTGGGGACACCTGGGGACACCAGAACCAGCTCTGGGGACACCTGGGACAGGTTTGGGGACACCTTGGGGACACACCTGGGACAGATCTGGGGACACCTGGAGACATCAGGACCCACCTGGGGACACCTGGGATGGATTTGGGGACACCTGGACAGGGTTTGGGGACACCTGGGGACAGCAGGGACAGGTTTGGGGACACCAGAACCAGCTCTGGGGACACCTGGGATGGATTTGGGGACACCTGGGGACACCAGAACCAGCTCTGGGCACATCAGGGATGGGTTTGGGGACACCTGGAGAGGAGTTTGGGGACACCTGGGGACATGGGGATCAGATCTGGGGACACCTGGGGACACCTGGAGAGGAGTTTGGGACACCTGGGGACACCCGGACAGGGTTTGGGGACACCTGGGGACACCTGGGGAGGGTTTGGGGACACCGGGGGACATCAAGGAAGAGGTTGGGGACATCTGGGACAGATTTGGAGACACCTGAGGACACACCTGGGGACACCTGGGGACACCTGGACAGGGGCTGGGGACACCTGGGGACACCAGAACCAGCTCTGGGCACATCTGGGATGGGTTTGGGGACACCTGGAGAGGAGTTTGGGACACCTGGGGACACCTGGACAGGGTTTGGGGACACCTGGGGTGGATTTGGGGACACCTGGGGGCATCAAGGACAAGGTTGGGGACACCTGGGACAGATTTGGAGACACCTGGGGACACCTGGAGAGGAGTTTGGGACACCTGGGGACACCAAAACCAACTTTGGGGACACCTGGGCTGGGTTTGGAGACACCTGAGGACACCTGTGACAAAGTTGGGGACACCTGGGGACACCTGGGACAGGTTTGGGGACACTTGGGGACACCTGGGACAGGTTTGGGGACACCTGGGGACAGCAGGGAGATGTTTGGGGACATCAGGAGCGGGACTGGGGACACCCGGACAGGGTTTGGGGACACCTGGGGACACCTGGACAGGGTTTGGGGACACCTGGGGACACCTGGACTGGGTTTGGGGACAGCTGGGGACACCTGGGGACACCTGGACAGATTTGGGGACACCTGGACAGGGTTTGGGGACACCTGGACAGGGTTTGGGGACACCTGGGGACACCTGGGACAGGGTTTGGGGACACCTGGACAGGGTTTGGGGACAGCTGGGGACACCTGGGGACACCTG